GCGTAAATCGGACCATAAGGCACCTAAGGAGCCACCAGGGCATACCCCCGGCAACGCCCAGGGATCCAGCCCCCGGGCCACGAACCTCTCCACCTCTCCGTTGAGAAGAGACGCCAGAAGGTCCACATCTGGTTTCCCCCAGCGAAGACAGAGGGGGTGAAAAAACTCCCGGCGTAGGGACCACCCCCCGGGCCCATCGACTGGCGACTGAGGGAGTCGGCCTGCCAGGACAGGATCCCGGACACTTCTCGACATGCGGCCACGCTCATTGTGCCGCCCTGATGGTTGATGTACGCCATTGCGGTGCCGTCGTCAGACTGAACCCGAACCGACAGACTGTGGAGACAGTGCGACCAACAAAGGGACAGGCGAATCGCCCGAAGTTCCAACACATTGATCGACCGACGAGACTCGTCCAGCGGCCACTGACCCTGCATCGGCAGGGGGCCCCCAGCCCCACAGGCTGGCATCCGTCGTGACCACCGTCCAGCGAGCCTTAAAGGACGGTGATCCACCACCGGAATAAAAGGTAGCAGTGTTCAAGCGGGAGACCGGTGAGGCCCATTCGGACAAAAAGTCCTCCGCAACCTGCTAGCAAACCGAGAAACGTACTGGAACCGCAAAGAACTTGGTCGGGCGTTTCCACTCCTTATAGATAAATCAAAAAAGGAATGTAGGGAAACATCTTGTTGGAGCGCTTGCTCTTATGCGTCCCAAACTGCACCGAGGACAGAGTAGAAGAGCCAGGAGACACCTCAATTTTAAGAAACACACGGACGGCGCGCACCCGTGCCGCAACCAGTACACATTCCTGAACCATGAGCGCCGACGCAGACCCATCCTTACTGGCCGATTTCGAGAGGAATCCCCCGGGTCCCGAAGAGGCGACGCGGAGGGAAGTTCCCCCTCCACCCCGGACTCTCCAGACATGGCCGGGAACGTCAAAGGCAAAACACGTTTCTTAGGGGGCACTACATCAGGGCGCGTTCAAAGCGCGACCCAAACTCAGCCAGAGCAGAGGAGAAAAAACCCCAAGGACAGCGCAGTAACGGCAGCACCGACCGACCCCCTAGACGAACCCGAGGGGGCCCCGGGGCGACTGGCAAAGGAACGCAGGCGCATGGGACGTGCAGACAGGGGATCCAGAGGGGTCCGCAGAGCACAGCCCACAGCCCTCACAATGCAACCAGAAGGCTCGTCCTTGCGAGCCATGATCCCACTGGCACCAACAACCGCCCACCAGACCACCGCCACGGCAACAGGGAGACCACCACAGCACCCACGATCCCCGGACCTATTTTCATCCGGCACCGGCAGTGTCCGACCCACGGCAGAGGAGAGCTGCTCCCCGTTTCCAGCTTCAGCGGCGCCCCAGGCCAAAAGGAAGCTCCCCCCCCCCATCCATCTGGGGTTGAAAGGAGCCCTGGGAGGAGGTGACAGCGGAGAAAGGGCATTTTGCCCTGATCCAAGATGGCGGCCGCGGGTCCGCCTGGAGGCCGCAAACGAGACCGGGGCCTCAAGTAGCGGCCGCCGCACGGACCGCAGCACCCTTGGGCTAAGTAGACACCCATAGCCAACCTAAGCCCCCAGTGTCCACAACCAGGCACACAGCTGGCCAGGGCAGGAGCCCTGGGACGTAGGGACACAGGAGGAAGGGCATATTGCCCTGATCCAAGATGGCGGCCGCGGAACCGCTTGGAGGCCGCAAACGAGACCTGGGCCTCGAGTAGTGGCCGTGGCCCAAGCCTCTCTACAGTGCTCACACCCAGGCACACCGCTGGCCAGGGCAGCCCCTGCTGCCCAGGCAAGCATCCAGGCCCCATGAGGGAGAGGGAGGGGGGAGCTGAAAAGCTGCAGCTGGGACAGACCCAGTGCAGCCAGCTTACCTGAGAGCAAACTGACACCCTCAGCCTACCCAAGCCTCCCTACAGAGCTCACACCCAGGCACACCGCTGGCCAGGGCAGCCCCCTGGCCAGGCAAGCATCCAGGCCCCATGAGGGAGAGGGGGGAGGGGGAGCTGAAAAGCTGCAGCTGGGACAGACCCAGTACAGCCAGCTTACCTGAGAGCCGGTTCCCACAGCACAGGCACAGCAGATACTTACCAGGCCCAGGCGTGCAGGGAAGCAGCGAAAGGCGAGCGCCCCCGACCGCAGACGCGGCGCTGCCAGCCTGCAGAGAGTGCTGTGATAGGCGGACCAGGACCCCCTGTCATATGCACCCCCCGGGACGAACCCGCAGGCACCCATAGGGACTACTAGTCGCAGCTGACCCATCGTGGCAGAGTCTGCATGCGCTCGACGGCCACCCAGGGGAGACTACAAGGATCCATCTCCATCCAGCATGTCGCCCTGGTGACACTTGCTAGAAGAATCGCAAAAAAAAAACGGAAAAAAGGAAAGAAATTTTCCAGAGAAAAATTTTAGCTCCTTACTCCTGACGCTAGGCAAAAAACTGGAGACTTGTCAGCAGGTGGGGGGTTGGGCCACCAGCAGGGGCCGCCCCTAGGCTGTTTTTTGTCTTTTTGTTATGTGCCTAGCGTCCTACTCCTGCAGGTGGCGATATACCTACCATACAGGATCTACGATCTGTTGCCCTGTGTCCTTCAATGAACGGGAGAGAAATGGCCTGGCCAGGAAGGGGGTGTAAACACCGCGGTCAGCAAGTGGTTAAATATACTTTAGTTGCACTAACCCAAGACAACAAATCACAATTTCTTACTTCAGCAGAGTGAATTCTGACTGCTGCTTACTGAATTCAAGAAAATAATATGGCCTAAGGTTTTCACAAGCCAAGGAATGAGGCACCTTTGCAAGCAATAGCTTGACTGAAATTGAACCCCACTCCCTACATTTACACTTCTATTTGCCCAGCATGTTTGACAGGTAGGTGCTTTAAGAAGAGCAGCATTTATTTTGTAAGAGAAGCCTACTGATCATAAAGTTACCTCTCAAGCACAAGCAACAATGTAGTGTTACTGGTTCATAGGAGACTTCTATAGCTTTAGAAAATAAATGGCAAGGTACAGAAGGGATAGCTTGAAGAAAATAATGGATAGGCCCCTGGTATGAAGCTCCCAATATACACTCACCGGCCACTTTATTAGGTATACCTTGTTAGTACCGGGTTGGATCCCCTTTTGCATTCAGAACTGCCTTAATTCTTCATGGCATAGATCAACAAGGTGTTGGACATTCCTTTGAGATTTTGGTTCATATTGACATGATAGCATCATGCAGTTGCTGCAGATTTGTCAGCTGCACATCCATGATGCAAATCGCCAGTTCCACCACATCCCAAAGGTGCTCTATTGGATTGAGATCTGGTGACTGTGGAGGCAATTGGAGTACAGTGAACTCATTGTCATGTTCAAGAAATCAGTTTGAGATGATGCGAGTTTTGTGACATGGTGCATTATCCTGATGGAAGTAGCCATCAAAAGATGAGTACACTGTGGTCACAAAGGGATGGACATGGTCAGCAACAATACTCAGGTAGGCTGTGGCGTTTAAACGATGCTCAATTGGTACTAAGGGGCCCAAAGTGTGCCAAGAAAATATCCCCCACACCATTACACCACCACCAGCCTGAACCACTGATACAAGGCAGGATGGATCCATGTATTCATGTTGTTAACATGAAATTCTGACCTTACCATCTGAATGTCGCAGCAGAAATCAAGACTCATCAGATCTGGCAACGTTTTTCCAATCTTCTATTGTCCAATTTTGGCAAGCCTGTGTGAATTGTAGCCCCCGTTTCCTGTTCTTAGCTGCCAGGAGAGGCACCCAGTGTGGTCTTCTGCTGCTGTAGCCCATCTGCTTCAAAGGTTCGACGTGTTGTGCATTTAGAGATGGTATTCTGCATACCTTGGTTGTAACGAGTGGTTATTAGAGTTACTGTTGCCTTTCTATCATCTCAAACTAGTCTGCCCATTCTCCTCTGACCTCAACAAGGCATTTATCGTCCACACAACTGCCGCTCACTGGATATTTTCTCTTTTTCTAACCAATTCTCTGTAAACCCTAGAGATGATTGTGCGTGCAAATCCCAGTAGATCAGCAGTTTTTGAAATACTCAGATCAGCCCGTCCGGCACCAACATCCATGCCACGTTCAAAGTCACTTAAATCCCCTTTCGTCCCCATTCTTATGCTCAGTTTGAACTTCAGCAAGTCGTCTTCACCACGTCGACATGCATAAATGCATTGAGTTGCTGCCATGTGATTGGCTGAATAGCAATCTGTGTTACCAAGCAATTGAACAGGTGTACCTAATAAAGTGGCTGGTGAGTGCACAACTCAAAAAGAAACTTAAGGAAAACAGCTAAATATAAAAGTTGAAATATACATTACAGTACTACCTGGCAAAGGACTTGCAATTCTGGTGGGCAACATTTACTATACATGCACACCTGCAAAAGTACATAGTCATCACTCTACTACTTCCTGGTCCAGGCTTACTGATTCCTAGATCTCTTCTCTGATAATTGGCCACCTACAGGGTTTGCTGATTCATTGCCCAGAAGGCAGGCTGGAGGTGGAAGCTTTGTTACATTGAGGCCAACATGTCCCTGAAACGTTACGCTGCTCTTATGGAACTCCAGTAAACACTGAGCTGGAACCTTGTGTGCTGGCTTCTTTTCTACTTAACAATTTTGCATGGTACCACTGTATGCAGAGCACCCTGCCTGTGATTTAAAGTGACACTAAAATCAAGAGCTGAATCTTAAAAATGAGGTGCATGTGTGTAATGGAATAATTTGATTTGCACAGGCGGAATCGCGGCCGAAAACTGCATGATACGCCCGGCGAGACTGGCACCGCCAGCGCGATCGGCGGTGTTGGGCAACTCCGCACGGTACTATGCACGATTGCCGCACGGCCACGGATCGTGCAGGTGTGAACCTGGCCTTAAATATACAGAAATACCATAGAGTAAAAAGACACAAAGTAAAACATACTTTATCTTCAAGCACACTCTCTAAATGTAATCAAACTTACTAGCATTGTCATCCGAATCTTCACTACTACTGGGTAGTCGTGAACGCTTCATGGCTTCTACAGGGATACAACAGGCAACCTACAAAGAAGACACAAAATCAAGTCACTTATAAACTGAATTGAGCTCATCGTTCCAATAAAAAGCATACAAAATAAAAAGTTTAAGAAAACAAGACACACAACTGGAGTCATGGATTATTAAAAGTATTTCAAGTCTCCATACTAAGCTTATTGTACGTTACTGCAGTACACTGGATTTCATTGAGTAGCCAAGACTCTTTATCTAGATCATGTTTCCATATCCTCACAGTACTGGTCACCCTTATAAGAAAATGCATTTTTTATACCATTATGTGGTAGTGTTCTTAAATGTATCATATTTTATCAAAAAATTCACACGTCAACATATGTTTTACAAATTATTATGCTTCATTCACACTTGCCACTTGTGATTTTGTCCTCTATAGGCAGAGGAATATCTGTCAGGTTAGATGCTGTGTTTATGCATCTAGATGCTTTAAATGACGAATGTTTACATGCATTTAAATGTATATGGTACCAAATCCTAACCAAATCAAAAGTGCATTTACATTTGAAGTTCAAATCGGCTCCTAGGTGCACCCGATTTCGATTTTTGGAAAACGCAGATAAAAGCATCTAGACACAAGGTGTGAATAGATCCATTGGAATTCATTAGATGCATATATATGCGTTCACACAAGCTTTAAATGCATATAGAAGCATCCAAATCTCACCCAGTGTAAGTTGAGTCTAAATGTGCTTCTTTTCATAGTAAGCTGCTGCAGTGTGGTTTGAAGTTCTCCCTAGCAGGGGGCTGGTGTAGCCGGAATCACTTAGGGGAAAAAAAGAACTAGAGCATTCACATGAACAGAGCCTTCAAGTCCAGGGCAAAATCTGGTTTTGATGGGAGGAAATAATCAAGACATGTTAGAAAACTTTATTCCAGATTCTATCTGGTTTCTTTTATGGAGACACTGGTTTAGACCCTGTCAGCACCCTTGTAAAACTGCTAGGCGTGAGGGATAGACTTCACTGTAACAACCTGGTCAGTCTTTTTAATATAAAAAGAAGACACTGTAACTTGAATAATTAGGACAAAGTGACAGTGCCTCTGAGAGGCAAAACCCTCCAAACATATTTACTCCCCTATCCTCACACCTTTTCCAACTCCCTGGACAGACACCAGTGTCAGACCTTAATTGGGAACATATCTTTACTGCCCCCCCCCCCCTTCTGGCTGACAGCTCTGTGATTAGCTGCTTCCACTGTGATATGGGGAGGAAGCCCTGCACTGGAACATAGCTGGGTTAGGATACTGTTTGTTGGATGGGCGTAGTGACAGTTTCATGTGCCTGTGTATTTGATATAATCTCACTAAGGCCCCATTCACACTGAGCGTTTTTGTAGCGTGATTTCAGCTAAAAAAAAAATCGCTCAATGTAGCTCATTCAATGCATTTCAATGGAGCTGTTCACATCTCACAGCTCAAGCTTACCGCTTGTACATGACGTATTTTTCGGCGGATTTCTTGCGATTTGGCCCAATAGACTTCAATGGTGTAGCTCATTGTCGCATGATGTTGCACTACAGAAGTGTCACTTTTGCACAGAAATATAATCAGGAAAATGGGAACATGAACAGGAATTATGTTACGTCAAGACCGCTTTTGATTGGATAGAGCTTAAGTAGCAACTACAAAGTCTATGCCAAAACTAGCGCTACGTAGCGCAACAATATGTGCACTGTAGCTCAATGTCTCTCAAAGTCGCTCAGCTCAAATCCGCGCTGAAAAAGCTCAGTGTGCATGGGATCTTAGGATAAAATATCAATTGCAAATAGATGTTTACCCTTATGAATATGGTCAGCCTTCTGAGTATAGCAGAGATAATCATATGAGCAGCAATTAGGATTGCTTGTGGTGTTCATATGAGATTTCTGGGGGGCTGTTCTGTAAGCCATGGGTGGCCAAATTATACGGGGTTCTGTCCAATCCATGAGCCAGCAGGAACTTTTTTTGAGCCAGTTCTATTGGTGACAACTAGGTTGTGTGCCAGCTACCATTTTGAAGGCGCATTGGCTACCTGGTTCCAGGGATTTGTCCAGCCCTGCCATAAGCAATGTACAGAATACCTCCAGGGCTGCCAAAACTGCAAGGAATACAAACTGGAATGTTTTGGTCAATTTAATAAAATTATCACTGGCTGCAAAGAGCAATAAGGAAACAGGTTTAGGAACATAAAATTACAATATAGCTTACAAAACCAATAATGGTATAATAAATCTAGGGAATATGGCATTTTTCCTTTAATTTAGAGAAATCTATAAGTAATGGCTTTGCTGAGTGAACCATACAACTCGATACACCTCCCATACCTAGGAGTGCCCACTGAATGGTCACACTGACATTCCTACTGACAAGCACTTATTTGGGTAATTATGTTACTATGACCACATTTATTTGTGTATTTCTGTACGCAGGTTGCCAATCTGACTGTTCCTGGAGAAAGGTAAATGATGCCACCAATTATGGTCAATGACAGCGTACTTCCTGCAGATTGCCTAACAAGCAAGAATCTGTTAACTCTAATTTTAATACTTGACTAAATAAAAGGCAACGCACATCAAAAATGTAAATCTTATAACAGAAATAATTCCAGATCTACATTTGTATGCGCACAGTAAAAACATGTTAAGTGACAAGTTGACAGGCTCTATCAAACAACACTGACGCTTGCATGTTTTGCCTGAAGGGGTATTTGCATTTCTAATATAGCATGCAAAATAAGTATCAAAAGAAACCTACACTGCATCCTGAGACAATCCTGATTTGGTCATTTTCTTCTTAGACATAGGTGTACAAAGTTAAATGGTTGATTATCATAAATAGACTTATAAGCAGAACTCCAAGCAAGCGGCTTATACACAGTTAAAATGCATACATGGCAAATGTTTTGCCTACCAAAGTGTTTGTAAGGCTCCTTTCACAGGGCTGATGAGGAGAGGATCCGTGCACAGATCGGATGTCAGCGCTGTGACATCCATGTCTGTCCAGTTTTTTTTCCTCCATCGCAAAGAGGAAAGAACTCCAACTGCCAGACCTCATGTTGGGCTAAGGAGAGTCACAGGTAAAAGAACAGGTGTCCATTTAGATCAAATTAACCCCAATCTGGCCGGATCAGGTAGGCCGAAACAGAACTCTGTTCAGTTTGTTTTTCCGGACCTGGTCGGAATTGGGAGTAACCAGGTGTAAACGGACCCCAGCAAACACAGAAACATGGCTATTAACACCTTCCCCAATATCATTAATAAACAGGTTAAACAGTATTGGGGCGACCACTGAACCCCGGAGCAAGCAACTCCTTCGACCAATTAGAAAATGAACCATTTACCGCTACTCTCTAGACATGTTCTTGTAGCCAGTTCTCTATCCATGTACACACAATTATATCAATGCCCCTAATTGTAGCTTGTATATTAAAGTGACACTAAAACTCAGGAGTTGATTCCTAAAAATGCCTTCAAGTACCTTAACTAATAACAATACTGGACCTAACTTGTGTATCACTCAATACATTTTCTTCAACGTGTACCTGTCATGAGTGAAGTATGGGAAATGCCACTGCTGGCCTTCTTTTGAAAATGAAGATGCCTGGCTGTGTCAGACTTCAACTCACTTTTGCATCACAGACCGGGAACAAAAGTGCTGTTGAGGAGTCTCAGAATTTCTCATCTTTATACATGTTCCGGGTCAGTGAAGTGTTGGAGACAAACAGCAACAGGTGCCCTTTAAAATGGAGGTAAACTTTTTTTTTTAAATCACTGGGAGGCAGGGATTTTCAGCAGATGAGACATGCAAAGTCTCTTCTACCAAAAAAAAAAAAAAAAAGTCATCCACTCTCCTCCAGCGATGAACACTGAAGGCCGCATGCACTGTGCAATGTACACACTCAGTTCAATAACGGCATCTCCAAGATTCCATGAACAGGTCGGGTCCCGGGGAGGCGTTACATCATCAGTGGCCTCCCAACAGCCAAAGAAGACTTCAGGCTATCTGATGGCGATGGGGGACAGAGCCGAGGTCCGAAGATGATCAGACAGCGCTGGAGAAGCAAAACGAATGGCAAACGCACATCAATTCATAACCAGCTTTAAAGCAAGGTACACATGGAAGGGCTTTAAACAGTACAACATACGTACAGCATATGTGCAAATTAGGCAACACTTGCTTTATTAGTGTGCCCTTCACCAGTGCTACAACAAAAAGTTTCCCAGCACACTCACCAGCCAGCCTGCAAAAATTCACCATCTAACTACTAGAGTTAAAAACAGAGGTCTTAGTTGCACGTCTTCTGCAGAATATGTGAAAGTCACACTGCCTGGTCAAGACCCCTCTGTGTAGTGCGGTCCTAACCCTAACCTATGAGAGCCTCCATGTTGGAGCATACATAGCAAAAGCTGTATTGGTTGCAGGTTTACCAGGAGGCAGCCCAACCTCCTTAACCACTTCAAGACCAGGTGTTTAGACCCCCTTCCTGGCCAGGCCATTTTTACGGGACACACAAGTGCTGGGAAACTTTTTGCTGTTGTACTGTTTAAAGCCCTTCCATGTGCACCTTGCTTTAAAGCTGGTTATGAGTTGATGAGTGCGTTTGCCATTCGTTTTGCTTGTTATATTCGATGCAGGGACACACTGGGGGCTTCAGCTGCCGTTGTGATGTGCGGGGTTCCTTGTGTGGCTCTGTGCCTTTAAGGAGGTTGGGCTGCCTCCTGGCGAACCTGCACCCAATTCATTCTTTGCTACATGTGCTCCAAAATGGAGACTCATAGGTTAGAGTTAAGATCACACTATACAGAAGGGCCTTGACCAGGCAGTGTGGCTTCCACATATTCTGCAGAAGACGTGTATCTAAAACCTCTGTTTTTAACTCTAGTAGTTAGTGTATTTTTGCAGGCTGGCTGGTGAGTCTGCTGGGAAACTTTTTGTTGTAGCCCTGGAGAAGGGCACACTGATAAAACAAGTGTGCCCTAATTTGCACATATGCTGTGCATACTTGTACATTAGAGCAAAAACATAACATT